TGCAGGAGGTGGTGGGGCGCCCAGGCTGTGTGCTCCTATACGGCTCCCCTAGCCTGGCTGCTGAGGCTGCAGAGCCCCAGCGTGTGGCCTTCCCCAGCCCTGCTGAGCTGCCCGACCAGAAGCAGCTGCACTACACAGAGAAGCTGCTGCAGCACGTGGCCCCTGGCCTGCAGCTGGAGCTCCGGGGGCCCTGGCTGTGGGCCCGGCGCCAGGGGAAATGCAAGGTCTACTGGGAAGTGGGTGGGCCCCTGGGCTCTGCCAGCCCCTCCACCCCAGCCCGCCTGCTGCCCCGAGACTGCAACACACCCATCTTTGACTTCGGCACCTTCTTTCAAGGTCAGTGAAGCACCTGCCCTGGGGCTGAGGTCCTCCCAGCCTGCCCCCCCCCCCCCCCGCCTCACCAGAACCCGGTCCTGTCCTGCAGAGCTGGGGGAGTTCCGTGCCCGCCGGCGCCGAGGCTCCCCACACTACACCATCTACCTGGGCTTTGGCCAGGACCTGTCAGTGGTGAGGCCCAAGGAGAAGAACCTGGTCCTCGTGAAGGTGAGGTGCAGGGTCCCCAGGGTGGGGCTGCACACAGCCCCACCGGGCCTGACAGCGCCCTTCCCACAGCTGGAGCCGTGGCTGTGCCGGGCATACCTGGAGGGCGTGCAGCGTGAAGGCGTGTCCTCCCTGGACAGCGGCAGCCTCGGTCTCTGCCTGTCCAGCTCTGACAGCCTCTACGACGACCTAGAGCACTTCCTGGAGCACTTCTTGATGGAGTGGGGCAGCCCGCCTAGGGCGGACCCCGGCCCCTTCGGGGTCCAGTAGAAACCCAAGAGCCAGCGTTGTGTCCTGACCAGAGGTGGGCTTGGGGCTGGGGCTGAGCAAAGGCACCGTGGACTCAAGCTCACCCCACTTCCTGGGGGCCCAAGGAGGGAACACCCCACTCTTTTCACAGTGAAGAAACTCAGGCCCCACTTTAGAGCCAAAAAACTCTACGCAAAGATCCCAAGTGTCCCTCAGGACACAGACACTCTGCTCTCCCTGCCAGGTGGCAAGTGGGGCCCCTCCGTCGGGGGCAAGGGCCTCTGTGCTGAACCCAGCGGCTGTCCCTGGCCTTTGAAATCTGCCACCACCACTCTGCCTCAGTGGAGCCGAGTGTAGGCTTCAGCAACTCTTTACAGAGCGTAGCACGGACGGTACAAGGGCTCCCTGGACAAGGGCCAGGCGCACAGATGGCTGCCTGGGGGAGGCTGCCTGTGAGGGGGTCGAGGAGACCTCCCCGCACCTCTGGCCCAGGACCTTCCTTGGTCACAAAGCTCACCTTTCAAGTACTGAGCCAATCGAGACATCTCTAAAGATAATCCATTTTTGATAAATTAGAACACAGTGGGAACAGTGTGTATCTATAATGTACAAATAAAAAAAAGTCTAGTTTTAAACTGTGAGCAGGACAGGTGCACAGACCACGTGTGATCACAGGAACCCTGAAAACAGGAGTTCTGGGTGTCCCCAGAATTTTCTGCTTCCTCCACTCCAGCCAGGACGGCGCTGGGTGGGCCTTAGCCCTCGGGGCCCGGGGCAGGCGGCTCCTCGCTGGCCTCGGCCCTCCGGTGTCTGCGCATGCGCCGGTACTTGTCCACGTAGGCCTTCACCAGGTTGCCCACCTTCACCGGGTTGATCTCCCCGCTCTTGCTATGGCAGATCTGGGGGGGGCAGTTACACTTACACAGATGTCCTTCACACCCACATGTTCAGTGACCACAGTGACTGGGCCCTGGGGACCACGTAGGGACAGTGGGCAGCCTAGGGTCCCACAGAGCCGGGCCAGCACATCATGACCAAGAACCCCACCCTGGGCTGGAGAACGGGTCGTCTCTTGGAGTGTTGCTTTCCCACACCTCATGTTACTCGGTCTATTTAACAAGTCATGAGGACACTGCCGTGAGCCCCCATGAGCCCCTATGCGGTGTGGCTACAGGGAGACGGGCTGGCCTGGGGCACCCTTCTCCATGCTCACGGACCCCCAAGAGTGTCAGGAGGCAGGGTCTCGGGCCCCCCAGGTGGTGACCGCCAAGCCCACCTTCTGCACGGCCTTGCGAAGGATGTCCTTGTACTCGTCCTTTGTCACCTCCCTCTTCTGGTAGAAGGGCTTGATAGCCAACTTCACCTCCTCCACAGCCCGTTCCTGCACATGCAGCTTCTTCATGTACTGGGAGTGAGAACATGCATGTGACACCCACCCAGAGGCCTAGAGGGCCCTCTGACCAGAGGTATAAGGCTTCCCACCATCCTGCCCCTGGAGGCAGGGGGGCAGGACTCACCTCCTCGTTCTTGGCCTTCTCTGAGGCTGGCCTGGGAGCAGCTGTCCTCTCCTCAGAGTTGTTGGCAGTGGTGGCAGCAGTGGCGGCCGCGTGGCCAGGTGGCTCTGAGGCTGTGGTCAGGATGGCGGGTACAGGGGCTGGGCTCTGAGCCACCCCGCAGCCCTCCAGGGGAAGGCTCCCCTGCAGGATGAACTGGACTGTGGGCTGGCTGACAGGTGCGTAGGGCGGGATGCTCAGAGGCAGAGCCAGGGCGGGAGGCAGGTTAGGGCCATATACCTGGGCAAGAACAAATCCCGCTCAGCCTCTGTAGAGCTCCCAGCACCGCGCTCGCCACCCTACTCCCCAGTCAGAGCCATGGCAGAAAGGGGGTGGCACTATGAGGTCTTCAGCCCCGACCTGGCCCAGCCAGCATGGCCTGGGCATGAGGCCACGTCCCTCCAGCCTAGGTGCCCACCTGAGAGGGGTTGGCATCGGGAAAGCCAGAGTCCCGAAGCACGTAACCAGGGGGAAGCGACTCAGAGAAAGGTGCCTGCTGGAACGCAGCCACAGGGCCCACGTCCTCGGTTTCCCGGACCCCTTCCCGGGGCTTCTGTGGTCTGTGGAGCGGCATCCCTGAGGGCCAAAACAGCAGGGGTGAGTGTTCTGTGGCCACCCCAGGCCAGAATGCTGCTTCCTGGCTAGAAAGTTCCAGAAAAGCATCCCAGCAGCAAGGACCACTGGTCAGGCTGCAGCCATCCCTCTGTGTGAAGGAGGCCCGTGAGCCACCCAGGGAGAAGACCCAGTGGTGGTCACTCGTGCGTTCTCACATGCCAACCCCCCCCACCCCGGGAAGTGCCTACTCACGCAGGCCTCTGTCCTCGGCTGGGGCACTGCTCTCTGCCTCCTGGAGGTTCCAGGTGACTCTCTTCACCAGAGCCTTAGCCCGTAGCAAGGGGTTCTGAGAAGGACCTTCCTCCTTCACCACGGGCGCCCCACCCACGGCCTGGCCACCCAGGGTGCTGGGCACTGTGGTGGCCTCAGCCACGTCCTGTGGGAGCAAGTGCTTCTCTTGGGGGCCCTCTGTCTGGGGCAGGAGCTGTGTGGCATCTTCACTGTGGATCAGCGACACCTCCCTCCTGATGGCAGCCGTGGCCATGGCCAGGCTGGCTTCATGCTGCTGGCTGGTTGGAGGCACAGCAGGCTTGGGCGGGAGGCCTCGCTCTGGGGAGGAGTCTGTGCTCTCAGGGGAGGGTGGAGAGCTCATGTCATCAAGCTGCATGAAGATGGCTTCACTTGAAAAGTCCTCAAAGAGGTGGCCCGCCTCGACAGAGTCGCCGTAATCCAGGTCCTCGAGTGGACACTCGGCTGGTGCCTCTGGGACTGGGGCGGCCTTTGGGGGACCCTTGTCTGCCTCGACCCCCTCCAGCAAGGCGTCTGCTCCTGCTGAGGCCGGGGGCCGGGCCAGGTGCTCCCTGTCTGGCCTGGGCTCCTCTGGGGCAGGGGGCGCCGGAGAAGCCTCTTTCGGGGCCAGCTTCCTCTCTGGGGAGCGGGGGCGGGGCCGTGGGCGCTTCTCACGGGAACGAGGCCGCCGGTGCTCCCGGGACCTGTGCTCCGGGCTTGGTGACCTGGACCTGCGCTTCCTCCTCTCCCGGGAGCCACGCCTCTCTCGGGGCCGCTCCCTCCTTTCCCTGGGGGTGCCTGGGCCTACGGGACCTCTCCAGGCTGCTGGGGGGCGAGCACTCCCTCCCCCGAGACCTGGACCCGGACCTCCGCCTCTTCTTCCTCCTGCCCTCGCGGTGCTCGTAGGAGGAGCTGCCGGGGCTGCCAGAGCGGGACCTGCGCCGGCCTTGGCCCCAGGAGCCCCTCCTCCTCTCTCGGCTCTTGTCCTTGGCCTTCTTCCGCTTGGCTCGCTCATGGCTGCTGGAGCGGTCACTGGAAGACCTCCGGCTCCGGACCTTGGGTCGGTGCCTCTTGGCCGGGTCCTCACCCGCTGGTGGCGATGCCGACCGAGAGCTCCTGTCCCCAGAGTGGGACGAACGGGAACCGGAGCGGGCCCTCCCATGCTCCCTGCTGGTGGCCTGCTGCCTCTGGGTTTTCTTCCTGCTGCGGGAGCTGGATGTGGAGCGGGAGCGGGTGGGGGACCGCAGCTCCACGACCCTGTGGGTGGTTGTGTGCAAGGCGTTGGGGCTGGGTGGCGCGTCCGGCTCCGCCACAGTCACACAGGTCACTTTCCGCCCCTCGGAGCCAAAGAAGGAGCTGCAGGGTGGCCGGTCCTCGTCCCCCCAGGGCTCGGGCGGGGACGCCCCCTGCACCTGTTTGGCAGCGCCTTGGCCCTCAGTGGGCTCCTCCTTGTCCTGGAGCTCAGGCTGCCCAAAGGGCCCCTGGGGGGGCTGGGGCTCCTTCCCAAAGCCAGTCTGCACTGTGTAGGAGGTGACGCAACGCACGGGCGGCCGTGCTGGGGCCCTCGGGCTGTCCACCGAAATGGTCCGGGTGATCTCAGAGGGCAGGAGGCTGGAGCCCAGGCGCTCGGGGCTGCTGCCGGCGGAGCTGGAGTCAGAGCCCGTGGGGTTGAAGGGATCGTAGATCTCGCTCTTGAGCTGCTTCGTCTTCCTGACGGCGAAGAGGGGCGAGGGGCTCTCTCTCCTCTGCGCCTTGCTGTCCACAGGCCGGAAGGTGTTACAGAAGCCAGGGCTGGGGAGTCTGCTGGAGTGGGCTGTGTTCCCAGGAATATTGATCCTGAAGCTCTCAAAGGTCGAGCCGACACCCTTCCCCCTGGAGGGGCCAGGCAGGGGGGGGGGCTGGGGGCCACCCCCAGAAGGTGTGCTGGGCTCCTGCGTGCCCCTGCTGCCGGGCTCGCCCTCCACCCGGGCACCGCAGCTGGGCTGCCCAGGGCCCTCCCGGCCCGTGAGCCGGCTGATGCAGGAGCTGGGGATGTCGACATGCTGCCCGCCCGTGGGGGCCTCGTCCTCCCGCCGGCCGCAGCTCTCGTCTCTCCTGATCTTTGGTATCCTGGGCAGCCTGGCGATGTCAGCTCTCCTGGGAGTGGGTCTCGGGGCCTGTGCTGGCACCACACTTCCAGGGGGCGAGTCAGAGCGACCACCCGAGGTCTTCGACGACACTGATCTCAGAGGTATAGAGCGCCTGGCGTCGCCGTTCAATCGTGAGTCGTCACTCTGTTTTAAGCCAGGTCTGCTCACGCTGGACAAGTTCTGGGCCTGGCCCGCCTGAGGGGTCACCAAGGACTCTAGTCTCACAGGGGCCCCCGACACAGGTGCAGGAACACAGGCAGGGCCAGGTGGAGCCGGGGGTGTGCCTGGGGTGGCCCTGCCTGGACACCTGGACCCTAAGCTCTGTGGCTGGCTTCCTGAGTGAGTCCCTCTGGGCTGCAGGCAGGGCCCAGGCCCGGGGTCTTCTCCCTCTCCAGGTGGACCCACTGAGCTTCTCTGAAGGGAAACTGGAGCTATCAAGACAAAAAGCCAAACAGCCATCAGCTCCCATCCACGTCTTTAACAGTTCGACCTTTGCCAGAGTGCCTCCCTCTGAAACCATGCACTTTAAATCCCTTCTACTCAGTGCTGCCTGGCTGCCCTCCGGCAGGGCCTGAGGCCCCTGTGGTGCTGCCCACTGTTCTCTTCTGCTTCATCTGCTACTTTTACACTATTTGGATCAAAAATGGCCTGAGCCTGTAATGCACACTTGAAAAGGGGCAGCGCCCTGGCCTATCACTGACCGTGCCTGCACAGCTAGGAAACCCGCCAATGCCGACTTGTGCAGAGGCCCAGGGCTGGCTCCCGTGGCCATGAGGTTCGAGGCAGCTGCGTGACGGCAGGAGGGCCTGCGGGCTGCAGGGAAACTCCATCCACCTGTACGTCATCAGCTCGGAAACTCAGACAGTGACGGAAACGCATCTTCAGAAGCTCAGTGCCCTTGCCCACAACCGGAACCCATGGGTCGCAGACTCGGGGTGGGGGGTCGGCGTGGGCAGAGCTGCCTCACCTGCCCTCTTGGCGCTGAGGGACCCGTCCCGGTGGATGATGATGTCGGCGCCGTTCATCATCAGGAGGCTCTGGCCCGACAGGATGCTGCCCAGCAGGTCAGGCACGGCGTCCTCGTGGACTTCTGGCTGGGGCACCGGGGCAGGGGCGCTCCTCCTGCAGGGCAGATCCGGGGCAGGCCCTGCCGTCAGCGCCTCTGCACCCCAGACCCAGCCTGGCAGCAGGCAAGGGGCCCCGGCCAGCAGCTCTGACGAAAGGGCAGAAGGGCGTCTGGGGTAGATGATGTGATGCTTTCCCAGCAGAAGCTGGTGAGCAACAGCTCTACTGGTTTTGCTGGTTCCTTTTTTGAGGATTAAACAGAAGAGAAGCTTGACTCCCTACCAGCCCTGCTGGTGGGCTCTGAGGCAGAGGTGGGATGTGGAGGCAGCCTCCGGGGGCCACGGCCTCCCCTTCATCCCCGTGCCCTTGGCTAGGGACGGGTTGCAGCACCTCCTCATCCAGGAGCCACGGAAGAGGCCACAAAGGTTACCAACACGGAGACCAGCTGGTCCCATTGGCCAGTGGCCCTACCTTGGCACCGCCACCCCCGGCCATCCTGTCCCCACAAGACACACCTGGAGAGCCCCATGGAGACAGGCCTGGCCACAGGCTGGTGAGAGCGCAGGGCTGACTGGGACAGAACCCTCCTCTTGGCACTCAGAGGGGAAGCAGGGGTTGCAGGCACCTCTTCACTGCTGGACGGAGGACAGAGGCCAAAGGGAATGGGTGAGCCTGCACCCCGAGGCCCAGGGAGACACCCCAGCCCTCTCCACAGCACCTGGCAGGGTGGGCTAAGCACGGTCCCGCGTGGCAGCACTCAAGAGGCAACACACTGAACCAGGACCCCGCGGCGGCTCTGTGTTGGGGTGGCCCGAACCTCTGAGCAGGGATGGGGTGGGGGCAGACCCTTCTCCAAATTAGGGGACAAGAAGGCACAACGTCCTTCCTAGTCACCACCTAACGGAGTCTGGGAACGACTAAGGCAGAAATTCCACAAACACGCATTCTGCGGGTGTGCACGACCCCCAGAAAGAAGTGAGGCCCCCCCGAGCCCCACCCGCCACAGTCACCTGTCAAAGGGGTCCAGCTCATAGGGGTCTCCGAACAGGGAGAGAGAGGCTACCCCGATGTCCGCACGCATCAGCCCCAGAGAGGGGTCCGCGGGCTTGTACACCGAGGGGACGCAGGCTCCATGGGCTGGCCTCCGGAGGCCCAGTGTCCGCGCGAGGCGGGTACGAGCTGTGGCTTCACACTGAACTCATAGGACAGAGAAAGAGACACTGGTCAACCAGGCTGGAGTCTACGGGTCCAGATTTCAACCACTGCTCAGCCCAAGGGCTGCATGGACGGGCCTCTCCCCAACAGAGTCCCACACCTCGCACGACTGCAGGGCTGTCACCTCTGGTCTCGACTCTGAGAGAAAATCACAAAGAGGAAAACACCCCGTCCTTCTGGTGACTGTGGGAACACAACCAGGCCAGGCTCAGGCCCAGCGGCAGGGAGACGGCGGGGATGGCCATCTGAACGAACAGGCTGACCAGACGTCCACGCACTCCACTTAAAGCTGAAATGTGCTCTCACACAAGTACACATGAGCCGACGCCGACTGGGCAGCGGAGCGAGCTCCAGTGTGAACTCGCATAAAGACACGGCAGACACGGGGACGACAGCGCGAACCCAGCTCTACCAGTCTGTCGTGTTAAAATGTTTGAAAGAGCCAGTCCAAGAGCAGGGTCGAGGAAAAGTACTTCAGAAAAGCCCATGTCACACAGGCCGCCATGTGCATGGGGGAGGGGCCCTGAAGACTCGCCAGCAGGCCAATCTGAGGGCGGGAATGGCCTGAAGGGGACAGTGTCCACGCACGTCGCACTCGAGCCACCTCACCAGACACAGCCTGGACCCTGCTGCTCACACCAGGACATAGGCCCTGCCGGAGGACTTCTGCTGCTGGCCTCTCTCAACTCCCCCTCCCCAGCTCATATCTGGCCCCCCGCCCCGCCCCTGGCAGGGAACAATGAGTCTGGAGCCCTGACGAGGGGTGGCCCCTCTGCATACCCCTGCGGTCCCAGGAACGGCACCTAGTCCCTCAGGACGGCTGGCTCCCTGCGGTCCTGGACATGTCCTGTCAGTCCCATCTCCAACCCACACGGCAGAAACGTGTTTTTATCTGGCAATCTCTAAGTAAATACAGAGAAGAGGCTATTTCTGTGACCCTTACTATGTACCTACACAAAGGATTTAAAGTTTGCCAGGTGTGAACCCCCATCAAATGCTACCTTTATCTTTTTCCCTTTTCTCTTCTTCCCACGACCCTGGCGTTTCTTCAACCTCGTCCCTGAGTTCTTGCTCTTCACAGATGACCTGGGCTGGGTCTTCCTTCTTCCCGACGCTTTCTTCCGTCTTCCTACAAGGAGCACATTGCGAGCACACGCGTCACTGTGTGCACGGACCCCTGCCCCATCCCTGCGTGCCCCCCTCCCCCCAGGACCCAGCCTACAATAACTATCCATCCCAGTTTTGGGTGTGATTATCTTCTCATTTTAATTTGGTCACAATTTTTAAATTGAAGAACAGCTGACAGACAGTATCATGTTAGTCTCAGGTGTGGCCTGGGGTCTTTACATGGAAAATAAACCCACAGAGGAGGGAGGGGAGAAGGCAGTGCAGAGCGAGAACAGAGTCCCGAGCCTACTCTGATTTGTAAACCTGACTGTTAGAACCCGTAGGTATTCTACATAATTATGAAACAAAATTAAATTAGAAAACACAAACCCTGAGAATCAAGAGTAAAAGGAAATAAGGGACCCCAGCTCTGTATCTACTTGGTGGTCTCACCGCAGAGGAGAGATCTCCCAGAGGCCTGGAAACGAGTGACTTCACGGTACATTTCTAGTAAAACAGATCCTGAAGGTTCAACTGCAAAACCACCAGCGCCCTGTCCTCCTCAGCCACCTTGAGGTGCTCGAGGCTTACTGGGGATGAGCCTCGTCAGCCACGTGGCTCCCTAATTTTAGGATGCCCCGACGCCCCTGGGGCCCTCAGGAGCCTTGGCACAGAAGAGGGGTTCCAAGGAAGAGAGACCGGCCCTCCTGATGTGTGCTATGAAAGCACACCCAACAGGTCTCAGCCACAGGTGCAAGATGAAGCCACAAGCCCTACCTGATCTCCCCTGAGGGGCACTCTGAGCAGGCTGGAGGTTTCGAGAACTGGGAAGCGCAGGAAACAGACGAAGGTGCTAGTTAACTCGTGCTGTCCATGAAAAACCCCACTCCTGGAAGCAGCCGGTACAGGAGGGAAGCCTCTCCTTCTCTTCCCAGTGAGTTCATGGAGCTGAGCCCCAAGCCCCATGGCTGCCTGATTGCGAACAGGGAGCCCGGAGGAACTGCCTGCTGGAGGACCCCCAACACTGGCCAGCAACTTGTAAGCAAACAAAACCCCCACCTGCGCCTGAGTGAGCCTTGAAGCTCTAACCACCCGGCTGTGACAGGCAAGGGGTGCTGCTGTCTGCTAGTGTGCGGGCAAGAACTGCCCAGGAGGGAAGCGCTGGACAGAAGACCCGATTTCCCACAATCAAGAGGACCCAGAGACACTGGATAGGCAGCCACCAGGGCAACACAGATCTCGTCTGGCTCTGGATTCAAATAAGCTACTTTTAAAAATTCCATCACATTTATGACACAATTAGAACTTTTGAACCTGACCGGCCATTTCACAGTGTTATGGAATTTCTGCTTGTTTCTCAGGTGTAACGATGGGATTGCGATGAACTTAAAAGGAAGACTCCCTCTTTCAGAAATACACTGCGAAACACTTGTAGGTAAAATGAGGATCGGCTTCCTAATAACACAGGAGGTGGCGGAGGCAGATGGACGAGCCAACGCTGGCCGGGAGTCACCGGGCCAGCGACAAGACGGCTACATGGGCACTGCTCCTTTCTCCCTGTGCGTCACAGGCCTGACACACGGCTGTAAGCAGCTTAAGAAATCCACAGCAGAGGACACACAATAACCAGACCCCGGAGTGTCCACCGCGAGCCGCTCGGACAAAGGGAGAGCCGACCCTGTCTCCCCCAGGAGCCGCAGCGCCTTCAGACTCTTATTCTGAGATGGCTCTCTGCACAGCCTAGGTGCTGTCTGGACTGAGAAGCATGTTTCTTGACCTGAAAAAAGGAGACTCAGGCCTAAGACATGAGGAGACAACCTCTACCATCCTGAATTTCAAGTCGAGCATCAGTATGATCTTAGGATGCAGTTTCCAGCTCTGTGCACTGAAAGGGCCAGAAACACGGACCAACCTTCAACAGACCTCAGGTCTAGCCTCTGAATTCCAGCCCCCACTGAGAGGACAAGGGCCCACTGGAAGGGCCTGAGTCCACAGGAGGACACACGAGGCACAGGAAGACAGGTCCGCACACTCCTGGAGACTTTCATGAGGCACCCCGCACACCCCAGCGTGGCAAGGACGAGGCCCCACAACTCTCATTGTGCTACCGGGGCATGACGTGGTCTGTCTAGTAGACCTCAGACACACGTCTACTGATGGTGCAGCCAGTCCTTGCTGCTCTGCGGCCACGAGAAACGAAACGTCCGCCTGCAGGGAAGAGCAGCCACAAGACCGTTCGCAGCACCTCTACACAGAGGAACCCAAACCCCTCTCATGGGTAAACGGATACACCGAGGTGTGTTCCTGCAACAGGCATCTTCCTCAGCGATACACTGAAATCAAGCACAGACGCCAAAGTCACTGCTGAGACACAAACGAGAGCACACACGCAGAACCTCGTAAGAGCCAAGTTCGAAGACAGACAAAAACTAGCTCCTGACGCTACAGGGACAGCAAGCCACCAGGAGGGCCGCGGGCACCAGTGCCATCTCAACAAGTCAGTTTTCAGAAAAGCCCAGAGTGTAACCCACGGACTGAAACAGGGATCCACTAAGTCTGCCGCCTTAAACAGACAATCCAAGGGGAGAGGAAAGCTCTTCTCTGGAGCTGAACGCCAACCAACCAACAACGGCGGAGCAGAGCTAGAGGTCATCAGCGGGGTTACGAGGGCTAAAAGCCTCTCCCCGGGAGGGACCACACTACTAGAGAAAGACAAAACCTACCGGGACCAAACTAACACAGAGAGAACTAGAAACTCCAACGGCACCAAAACAACACAGGACACTGAACTGACCATTCCAGCTGTTCCCACCCTGGAAAGCCCAGGCACAGGGCTTCACTGTGAGCCACCAGACTCAGAGAAGTGACAGCGCCACTTCCCCACCAAGCCCTCTGGGACCCTCCTGTCCAGCTACGCGAGGCTGTGACTCGACGCACGTGCAGAGGCTGTGGCTGAACAAACAGCACTGCCCACGGGGTGTTCAGAGGAGGAACCAGCGGCTGGAAGGGCTGCCCTGTGGAGGTCTGGCTACCCTGGAAAACCAGGTGCAGAGACAGAAGTGACCATGCTGGCCTCCGGGGAGCTGCCCGCAGCCAAGCCCCCACCCCGTGTACCTGCTTTCCTCCTCCGGCGGGCAGGGGCTCGTGGCGTTGTGGGGCGCTGGTACACAGCAGTGCTCAGGCCAGCGGCCACGGCTTCGATGGTCTCATCCAGCAGGGAAGACATGAGGTACCTTGGGACGTGCTATACGGCAGAGGGAGGTGCTGGTCATTGAGGGAGCCCCTGGTTGCCCCAGAAGCTGGATACCCTTAGCCGGCGGCAGCAGAAAACAGACAGATTGCTGGGGGCTTCCAGGGGCCCGGAGGGAAGTGGGGTCTTGGGAGGCTTCTCAAGGTGCAGGTCAGGCAAGAATGGGCGACAGAGAGGGCCGGGTGCACCTCAAGGAGCTGGCAGTGGAGGCGCAGAGCCAGCGGGGGCGGCAGGGACGAGGGGTGTGGCTGGGTCTCGGGGACAGGAAGTCAGGAGGACTGCAGGCGTCTGCCCTGAGAACCCGTGTGATGGGTGTGGCGTCTGTGACCGGGTCCTGGGGCCCAAGCCTCCCGGGCAGCTTTCACGGCGCACCTGTGGACTGGGCCCCCAGCCACTGGCCCAGCCCGGTACCCTTGGGGCAAGCTCTCCGCTCCTGCTGCCTGAGGCCTGCGGGGCTTTGTTCTCTGCATGTGGGCCAGACGCAGGGCCTACAGACACAGACCCCACACTGCCGACAGTGTCCCGCCGCTGAGAGTGTGAGCACCCACCTGGACCCCCCGGGCCGTGGAGATCCGGTTCCGGTTCACGGTGGCTCGGACTCTCTCACTCTGCCGCGTCCTGGCGATGGCTCGGGTCCTCCCTGCCTGGGGCCGAAGCCGGCTGGTAGTGGGCACCACGTCGGCCAAGAGCAGGGATACCTCCTCCTCGCTCACAGGATCCACATCTTGGAAGGAGACACCCAGGCTGACGTGCACTCCGCCAAGCGCTGAGTACCAGGATGCAGGGGCACCTCCCTGGAGCCCGGGGCCTCCAGACCCTGAAGCCCCAGTCAACCAACCCCAGTCCAGCCTCAAGCAGCTGTGCCCCCTGGCCCGGCCAGGAGTGCAGCAGGGAGCCGCCCTGCTGTCAAGCCCCATACGCTCTCCCCATGGATGGGCGCCGCCCCCGCGGGCAGGGCCAGAGCATTACCAGCGGCAGGGGCAGCTCCGAGGACAGCACATTCTGGACAGAACCACTCGTTCACTGGCACCTCCTGGAGAGGGGGGTCCAGACATTCCATGTGGTACCTAGGGGAACAAGAGTGTCCCCAGCCTCACTGTCCCAACCAGCCCCAGGACCACAGCGCACCCTGCAGTGGACTGTGTCCCCCAAACCCACGTGTTGGAGCCCTACCCCCATGTGACAGCACCTGGAGATGGGACCTTTGAGGGGCGATTAAGGTTCAGTGAGGTTGTGGCAGGGGTCCCTGACCCATGTCCTTGGAAGAGGGAGGCACAAGGAGAAGGCACCACATCTGCAGCTGGGAAGGGCCTGCCTGGGCTGACTCGAGAGGACACAGGGGAGCCGGCCGGCTAAGAGGTCCAGGCACTTGGAGCTCGAGACACTGCTCTTCTAACCTGCCCGCAGCCCTGCCCGCCAGCGTTCTGGGAGGACAGGCCCACTGCAGACCTCTGGGCCTCTCCGCCCTCCAAAGGGGCCCTAACGGCCCCCAACCCCTCCATGGGAGACATACTATCTGGAGGGATGGAGCTGAGGAAGGACAGCTGGACCCGAGCGGCTCGTTGGGCGTGGGGTCTGCAGAAGACGGGCGCAGGGGTAGGGCCGACATCCCGGGGAGGCTGGCCTCTGAGGCCGAAGGTTGTCAGCTGGTCCGTCCAGCCCCCTGCCAAGTTTCAGGCGTTGGTGCCCCACAGTCCAGCCTGAGGAGCTGCCGGAGGGCATTTTGTTGGCTGCAAGCATGGAAAGGCTGCCCCACCACGCCTGCCCTTCAGCTGCTTCTAACTTGTCCTCAAGGGTAGCAGTTTGGGAAGGCACGCTGGGCTGGGCTGCCTGAGCCAGAATTCTCCGAACCTCACCCTGAGGCCCCAGACAGTGCCGAGCCAGATGGAACCAACGTTGACCAGTGCCGCACACCCGAGCCCAGGTCCAACTCCACTTCGAGACTGTGTGCCACTCACAGCAATGAAGCATGTGAGGGTCCAGGAAGCCACCGGCTGACAGCAAGAAGCCCACCACAACCAGACGCTGGGAACTCACACGAGACCCGGGGGACGGGTGGGGAGGCCACCCTCCCTGGGGCACAGAGTACTGTGGGGCCCCGAAGCCCCAGTAGATTCCAGCCTGAGAAGGTTCCCCCGCCCCACATGGTCTCGGGAAGGAAACCAAGAACTGAGTGGTAGGTTCTTACAGAGCATTCCAAGGATCCAATATGGTTCCGCCCTGTTCTCGCCACCAAGTTTCAGGGCCTTGAGCAGAGGCCTGCGGGTGTGACAGGTGACTGCCTAGCCACTGCAGCCGCAAGTCACTCCAGAGAGGAGGCTGGCTGTGGTTGAGGCCATGGGACAAGGGAGAGCCGCACGACCGCCACCAGGGCGGACCCCATGCTTACACAAGCACCGAGATGACCACTTCCAACAGGGACGGCACAGCCGGGTGGCAAGGGAGGTCCCAGGTGCCTCGCTCAGGAATAACTACCTTTACGTAAATCACAAATACTCTATGTTTCACGTGACAGTGAAACAATCTAGCGTATTCAGGCACCACAAGAGTGCTTTGAAACTCACTCATTTATGTGAGTGATCTTAGACTTGTGATCTTAACTGAAAGACAACTATATGAAAATTCAGCAAACTGCGAATGTACCAGTGAGGATGTCTAAAAGCATACGGATCACTGCATTTATCAAGTTTTAAGGTTCCGGATCCAGCAGGAGTTTGTGTACTTGAGTTCTTTTCTCCACTGAATTCAAGCACACAAAAAGAAAAGATACCATATTAAATTTATAAATGTACTTTACAGTAAAGGAATTTTAACGAGGTTGTAAAACCCCCAAGGGTCACTGTTATAAGTTACTAGAATTCAAATGGATCTTGATGTAAAGGATTGATGTAATCAAGAACTGTAGGCTCAGATCAACCGGTCTTGAAAAGAATGGAGTTGGCAAATCACGCTCCCTGACTTCAGATTACACCACAAAGCTACAGTCATCAAAACAGCATGGTACTGATTCTTTGTTCCGGAAACCGAGTGGGAGGCGGTGGCAGCAGCTGTGGAGAAAGACAGGAAAAGGCAGGCCGGGCAAGCAGGCAGCTGACCGGACAGCCAGCCAACTGCAGCAAACCAACCCAGCACTCTACCGCTTTACACATCTAACCAGCCACTCACCAAGTTAACCCGAGCACCTCCACAGTCAACTCCGTCGACACCGTAACATCCAGATACGATTAGGCCGACCCACCGGGGCCCTGGCCTGGGGCGCCATCGGAGGATGAGGCCTGCCTGTAATCCAGAGGGGCCTGCCCAGAGGAGGACTACGTGGGCGGGGTGTTGCTGAGGTCGCGGTACGAGGTGGGGCAGGAAGGGGCTTTGGAGGCCGAGGGAGAGGTGCCCTTGCTCGCACCGTACTGACCAAGCAGCAGCTGGACAACCAACTGGGTGCGCACATGTGGAAAACGAAAGGGCACCTGGGTGCCGAGCTGATGCCTACACGGCACAGGCAGATCCCCTCAGTGCTCCTGCTTAAGAACCTTGATGTCTGAGATACAGCTGTTGTGTGTCATTTTCAATAGCCTCTTAAAAGCGTTTAGAAAATCTGGAACTCAAAAACGCCTTCTGCCATGGTAAAAGCCCAAAAGACCCCCAAAACCCCCAAACAAACAAACACCCGCCCCAGCACGGTACCAGCACAAAAACAGACAAATGGGTCAATGAAACAGAACAGAGCCCAGAAACAGACCCGCGCACTTGTGGTCAATCTATGACAGGCAGCAGGAATGCACAAGGGAGAAAAGACAGTCTCTTCAACAAGCGATGCTGGGGAAACCGGGCAGCTGCACGTAAAAGGAGGAAACTAGAACACTCTCTAACACCATATAGGAAAACAAACTCAGAATGGGTTACAGACCTAAACGTAAGACCGGGTACTATAAAACTCCTAGAGGAAAACGTGGCCAAAACACTGACATAAATCGCAGCAGTTATCTTTCTGGATCCGTCTCCTAAAGTAAGGAAAACAAAATAAAAAATGAACAAATGGGACTTAATTAAACTTAAAAGCTTTTGCACAACAAAGGGAAACCATGAATAAAACAAAGGGACAACCTACAGACTGGAAGAAAATATTTGCAAACGATGAGACTGACAAGGGCTTAATTTCCACAATGCACAAACAACTCATACAACTCAAAAAAACAAAACAAAACGAAACACAAAAACCCAATCAAAAACTGGGCAGAAGACCTAAACAGATCTTTCTCCAAAGAAGGCATACAGATGGCCAACAGGCACATGAAAAAATGCTCAATGTCACTAATTATAAGACAAATGCAAACCAAAACTGCAATAAGGTATCACCTCACACCAGTCAGAATGGTCATGATTCAAAAGTCCACAAATGACAAATGCTGGAGAGCCTGTGGAGAAAACGGGAATCCTCCTACGAGGTTGG